GTTAGGTCTTTTAATGTGGCTGAAGTATTTCAATTGTCTCTTTTTTATTTCTTTGAGTAATTCTCCTTTCATCTATAGTCTTCCCAGAACCCCTGTATTCGACTGCTTGTGTTTCCATGAAATACAACCTACTCTTCTGTATATCCACATTTCTAGAGACTCAATTCGATTTTCTAATTGAACTATGCAATTGCTTCAATATTATGGATGGAATCCAGTCCATCACCTCTGGCTTCTCTTATCCACGTTCATTGAAGTTTTCTTTCTCAACATGCCAGACCTTTAATACAAACAAACAAATATGTACAACAAACTTGTGCATAATCAGAAATATACTTCTGAGACATCAGATCACAACTGACAGAAAAATTACAATATGGCTTCAAAATAACACAAACAGTAAGGCTTGCAGAAATAACACTTCAGCACCTAGAATATAACAGTAACATAAACCACAGCACTTAAATAAATAACACAAGAGTTAAGTTAGTTGCAAAATCGTTTGCAGGACGTTGCAGAAACAACCACAGCTTTTGTAAGCTAGTTGTTATTGCTAGGCAATTTCCCATAAAGCCGGTTGCCTTGACTTCTGAACAGTCTAAATCAGCACTGCCACATTGCCTGCAGCTGTAATCGAACCCGGTACTTCAGAAACTAGAAACATACTCATAACACCTAAGCCGGAGATTCCCATAGTACAAAAATATAAGTATACACAAAATGTTTTGTATACTATACTAACAAAACAGGAGAACAGCATAACTAGTAGTCTTTGCATTGGAACCCACAGGGGCATGGGAATAAAGGAAGGCCAAAAAACACATGGAGAAGAGAGCTGGAGAATGAGGTTAGAAAGATGGGGAGGACATGGGAGAGCTCCATGCAATGGCGAAGGATAGAACGACTTGGCGTGAGTTGGTTGAGGGCCTATGCTCCATTGGGGGATAGAAAGGCAGAAGAAGAAGACTAACGAAATGTAGACATACTACATAAAGTAACATGCTTGACTTTTTACATCACTTAGAAAATTATCACACATACTATACCATTTACAGTACATACAAAAATTGTAACACTGACCCTAAGCAGACAAATTATTACATAAATAGTAACATTCACATTATATAGAGAATTATACATTGTAACATTTACGTCAAGCAAAAAATTATGATATAAATAGTAAAATCACATTTTGTAAAGAATTTTACACTGTAACATTAAAAAAAAAATTTAAGATACAAACTGTAATACTCTTTGACTTACAACTGAGTTCTGTTCAGACAAAAAGGTTTAAGTCGAAATTGTCATATCATAAGTCAAATTAATATTTCTCAACACCATTGTTATTTAAATGGATTACAAAAATGAAATCTAGGTGTGTATAATTACTGTGTACAGGCATCTATGCACACTCTAGGCATCTATGCACACTCTAGGTATCTATGCACACTCTAGGCATCTATGCACACTCTAGGTATCTATGTACACACTAGGTATCTTTGCACACTCTAGGCATCTATGCACACTCTAGGTATCTATGTACACACTAGGTATCTATGCACACTCTAGGCATCTATGCACACACTAGACATCAGTTCCCTGGAACTTTCTGACCCGGCCAATGCAGTTATCTTTCTTTACTTATTATTTTTATTTCTTTATGATTTTGCGGTCACAAGTGTGGCTGGTCTAAGTCACACAGGCTGTAAGTCAAGGAGAAAGTGTATCTACGTTATAAAACTATTATCATAACCTTGAGAAAGTGAAGAACCCTCTTCCATGCCCTAAGGCTTGATAGACATATGGTGCTTGTGTCCCCGTGTGGGTTCCGGGGCCCCGTTGTGGGGGAAAACAAGAACACACCCACTGCCTCCCTAACAAGCATGTTGAAGGAGTCGACTAACTGGGGACTTCCTTCGAAGTCGGAGTGCAGCTGTCTGAGAGACAAGGAACAACCAACTGCACACAAATAAGCCAGTAAAATGGAAGTACACGCAAAACAAAGGTCCTGGCACAAAGCCAAAATCAAAATGGACAAACAACCAGGACTTTCCACCGAAGCTTACAGCCGGTGAACAAAGAAGAAGAAGATATTCTGCAAGTTCCATATTTCCATAAACCAATCAGCATCTGATGCAAAATATGGTCCACACATTCACTGCCTTTACTTCCCATTCGTCTTGGAGACATTCAGTTAAGTGACTCTGTGAATTCTTGTTTGTGTTATTGTATGTTCATGTAAGGCACTCCAGCTGCAAACCCAGCCTTAAATGGGTACCAGGATGTATGTCATGGGAAAGTAAGGACCGCTGGCGTAATGCTGACCACATTACCCACCTAGTGCCAATTGGTCTGTAAAAATATGGGTGCTCTTCCCATATGCCCGATACGCCTAAGGCGTAAAAAGGGATCTGTAATTTTACTTTTACTCCAGTTGCTGACTTGTTTGTGCATGTGATAATGTGGAACTGTCTGGTTACACTTTTTTGTCTGGTTGGATTTCTTTACTTCCCAAAGCATTTCCTGCCGGTCTCTTTTTCGGCTAGGCCAGTGTGGGAGAGTCGGTAAATAAAAAGTTTTAAAAATATCCCCACTTCAAATGTGACTAAAACACATGACAACCAGTTCTGTAGACAAACACCACTCTAATGTTGCTCCCACCATATACTTTAGTACTTATTAAATAGAAAAAATTTACTGTACAGAAGTTAGAAAATAATGAAATTTTGATATGAATGATAGTCCGCTCTGTGGCTAAGTCGATGAGAACGCTTTGTAATGCCGGGTCCGATCCCAGCTGCGGGCCATGCGCCTTGTGTTGGTTTCGACAGTGGTATTAAGAAAGCCGACTATCCAGAAGGCAATGGGAAACTACTGGCTGTAAATTTGCCTAGAAAAACTGCACAACAGCCAGAAGCTGTTGGGGTTGGTTCTGCAACGTCCTGTAAAGGATACGCAACTAACCGATTTGAATGATGACACTAAACAAAGAAGTTAGAAAGTTTATCACAGTGCAACAACTACAACATGTACAGAAATGGCTACAGTGAGACAGCCACTATTAGCTATAGCCAGAAGCTCAAACCTCTGAAACATTTTTCTTTCTCTTGGCAAAAACTTCTTGAAAACAGCTCTTACTGAAAACAAAGTGCACTTCCATTTTCATGAGATGGTGTGAAGATGTGTTGGTGTTCAGGGGCTGTGATGTTTTCTTCCCGGTTCATTCTGTTCCCTTGGCATTGACTGTTATTTATTGTGCATGTTTCCAAACACTATAGTTCTAAGGTGGGTTCTGGAACCCATGGGGGGGGGGGGGGGGGGGGGGGGGGGGGGGGGGGGGGGGGGGGGGGGGGGGGGGGGGGGGGGGGGGGGGGGGGGGGGGGGGGGGGGGGGGGGGGGGGGGGGGGGGGGGGGGGGGGGGGGGGGGGGGGGGCTAATGCTCTCCTAACAAGCATGTCTAAAATGGCAACTCATGTTGTCACGGTACAATAACAATGCCAAAGAGGCGTGGTGGCTGATACAGAGTGACTTCAACTGGCCCACTATAAAACAAACCCAGGAAGGTGGAACTCATCAACAGGAGACTCCAAATGTCTACGGAGGAAACAAAACAAAACAAAAACAAAAAAATGCTTCCCCAGAAATGGAAAGTGTCAACCATCGTTTGATGGGAAGGACTGACACATATGGTAAACTTCCATGTCCTCGTGCAAGCAGTTATCCAACTGTGGTACCACCACCTTGGGTTACAGCCAGCTGATTGCCAGACTAAAGCCCAAACCTCAGACAGGTTGACCTATAGCTACTGATGGCCCTGAGGCTTCCTGCACTGCCAGGGAAGGACACTGTTTCACAAGTGACAGTGAGGACAAACATCCACCCCTCGTAATGATGAAGCTGAATGGGTATACAACAACAAAAGCTAGAACATTCCTTCTCCTGTGTTCATCCATGAAAGAGCAGCCAGCTGACATGTTGTGATTTACCAGGCCGTGATTGACCTGCATCTTTCAGCCCAACACATCCAAGTTGAGAGAATCCTGAATTAGTCGCCTTCATAATTAAATATCACCTTCTGACAACATGTTTATTATGGAACAGCGGGTCTATCTTTACCCCTCCCCCTGCCTCCCAAAATGAGACCCTTAAACCCACAATGAGAGAGGACCATTAAAGGCAAATATGAAAACTCTGATACTAGTTTTTATTTCTTGTGACCTCCACTTACCCAATTCTTTATTATTATTCTTGTTTCCCACAAACTTGTTGCTACATAAATGACAACCGGCAGTTGAGGAATTCTTCTTCTTCACGTACCGGCTGTAAACTTCAATGAAAATGTTCTGGCCCTTTTCCCACTTCTAGAATCTGTTCTTAATCCAAAATTTTGAATTTTGCAAGCACATCCATTTTACAGATCTGACTTAGTTGTATGTAGACTGCTGGTTCCTCCTATCTCTCAGGCAAATGCATTCCAACTTAGAAGAACACACCCATAATTAGTCGACTTTGACGACATGCTAGTTAGTTTGGAGGTGTCTGTTCTCCCAACCTTTCTATGGGCCCCAGAATCCACACTGGAAAAGCTAAGGATCAAACAACAACAAAGCCACTTCAAAAAACATCTGTGTATCAGTTACAGTATTTTATCGGGATTGTTTTTCCCTGTGCTAATTAATAGCAGCAATAAGAGAAAAGAATATAGAGCAATGGAAGACAGAATAAATAAAAAGACACATTTAATAAACAATTACAAAAACAGCATGAGAACAAGTTCAAGGTTATGGGATACGTGTAGAAAACATAAAAATCACATTCTGCTGTTTATAAATCACAAATATAAGTCCAATAATGATAAATATTATACTCAATTTATCAAACTACCAGTTCATAAAACGAGCAGTTTCCCAAACATGTGCATATCTTTACACAGGGAGATTTCCCAACCCAAACCACAGTATGTTTCAGGTTTGTCAGTTGGAAGTTGATCACCAGTGAGCTCAGAATGTGCGCATTTCATTCTTCACACACGTCTTGAAAGCATCCAGCGCATTCTGGTTGTGCATCAGGTGGGACTGTTTGAGGAAACAAAAATATTGAGATGTAGTAGCAAAGTAAAAGTAAAGGCATCAAGATGTAGTAGCAGTGTAAAAGTAAAGACATCAAGTTGTAGTAGCAATGTAAAATTAAAGGCATCAAGTTGTAGTAGCAATGTAAAATTAAAGGCATCAAGTTGTAGTAGCAATGTAAAATTAAAGGCATCAAGTTGTAGTAGCAATGTAAAAGTTAAGGTATCAAGATGTAGTAGCAATGTAAAATTAAAGGCATCAAGGTGTAGTAGCAATGGAGAAGTAAAGGCATCAAGATGTAGCAGTAATGTAAAAGTAAAGGCATCAAGTTGTAGCAGTAATGTAAAAGTTAAGGCATCAAGATGTAGCAGTAATGTAAAAGTAAAGGCATCAAGTTGTAGCAGCAATGTCAAAGTAAAAGCATCAAGATGTAGCAGCAATGTAAAAGTTAAGGCATCAAGATGTAGTAGCAATGTAAAAGTAAAGGCATCAAGTTGTAGCAGCAATGTAAAAGTAAAGGCATCAAGTTGTAGCAGTAATGTAAAAGTTACGGCATCAAGTTGTAGCAGCAATGTAAAAGTTACGGCATCAAGTTGTAGCAACAATGTAAAAGTAAAGGCATCAAGTTGTAGTAGCAATGTAAAAGTAAAGGCATCACAATGTAGCAGCAATGTAAAAGTTAAGGCATCAAGTTGTAGCAGTAATGTAAAAGTTAAGGCATCAAGTTGTAGCAGTAATGTAAAAGTTAAGGCATCAAGTTGTAGCAGTAATGTAAAAGTTAAGGCATCAAGGTGTAGCAGCAGTGTAAGAGTAAAGGCATTAAGATGTAGAAGCAAAGTAAAAGTAAAGGCACTGCGATGTAGTAGCAGTGTAAAAGTAAAGGCATCAAGATGTACTAGTGTTAAGGTTAAGGCATCACAATGTAGCAGCAGTGTAAAAATAAAGGCATCAAGATGTACTAGTGTTAAGGTTAAGGCATCAAGATGTAGCAGCAATGTAAAAGTAAAGGCACTGAGATGTAGTGGCAGCCTAAAAGTGAAGACATCAAGATATAAGGCTAATTTTCAGAAAAATTCCATCTCTGTGCAGATTGGAACCTGACAATACCACAGCTCCTTGCAGGAGCAACGGCAAAGACACTGAATGAATCTATGGCACAATATAGAAAATAGTTTAACTCTCACATTACAATACAGATGTTATCTTAATGCACTCGACCCTAAAGTACTTTAAAGATTTAACAATTTGTTAAGGAAATTTACTGCAAGAAGACTAAAAATGAAAAATGAAAATGAAGAGGAGAAAGAGAAGGAAAAAGAAGACGAAGAAGAAAAAAACAGATGATACATACTCGAGCTCCTCTGTGAAGCCTATCTTTCATGATGGAGATGAACTCCTTGTGGGAGAGATTCCCGTCTCCGTCTGTATCGAAGATGTTGAAGAGCGTCTGGACAATGTGCGAACTCAGGCTGAATCCTGTACACACTAGCACGGCCCGCTGGAACTCTTCTGTTGGTACAAACAATAAACACAGTTTAACAGAGCTGTTTTCTTGGAGCAAATATGATATACAGATAGTATATCAAACACTGTATTGCTGCTGCAAGTACAATACAGATTACTAGGCAAACAAAAGCTGCAGCCTCAATGAGACAACATGTAGACTGACAAAACAAAGCTGCAGCCTCAATAAAATAACCTCTAGACAGACAAACAAAAGCTGCAGCCTCAATGAGACAACATGTAGACTGACAAAACAAAGCTGCAGCCTCAATAAAATAACCTCTAGACAGACAAACAAAAGTTGCCTCCTCAAGAGACAGTTTCTAGACAGGCATTCAAAACCTGCAGCCTCAACCAGACAGCCTCTAGACAGGCAAACAAAACCTGCAGCCTCAATCAGACAGCCATAAAAGCTGAAGCAACAATGAGACAGCCTCTAAAAAAACCACACAAAAACTAGCCTCTATAAGACAGCCTCTAAACAGGGAAATAAAAGCTGCACCAGCAAAGAGACAGCTTCTAGACAAGCACATAAAGTTGCAGCCTGAATGAGACAGCCTCTATACAGGCATATATAAACTGCAGCCTCAATCAGACAGCCACAAAATCTGCAGCAGCAATGAGACAGCTTCTAGACAGGCAGACACAAGTTACGCAGCCTCAATTAGACAGCCTCTAGACAGGGATACAAAAACTGCAGCCTCAATGAGCCTTCTAGTGTGTGATACAGCAACAGAAATGATAGAGGCTACAGACAGGGATATAGCTGCAGCAGCAGCAAAGTAAGAACCAGTAAACTGGGACACAAAATCATCAGTGTAACAGCTTGTGGACTGGGACCCAGCAGTACAGACAAACTAGGAACATAAGTGCAGTAATGCAACAGCTTCCTCCGTCTTCACTTTCATCAGCTGTAAATTCCAGCGGAAAGAACTGAATGTTCGTCCACTTTTTGGACTTCGAAGGAAGCTCCCAATCAGTCGACTCTTACGACATGCTTTTAGGGAGGCAGTGTGACTATTTTTGTTTTGCCCATAATGGGCCCATACGGGGAGTTACCTATTATGACATGCTTGTTAGAGGGCAGTAAGTCTACCACCCCCCACCCCTTCCCAATAGGGACCCAGGGAGATAGCAGTTCCAGATAGATATGGATACATAGTAGCAGCAGTCACGAGACACCCTGAAGACAAAGGACAAAGAAGATCTTTGCTCCCCTTCTAAAATTCATTAAATGAAAGTGTTGCACTGGACAAGACTGTACAAGTATATAAAGCCTTACATGAGTAGACTGTACAAGTATATAAAGCCTTACATGAGTTCAACCTTGACAGTCTTACCCTGTGAGACCGGCTGCTGGGCATAGGTGTACATTTTCATGGCAATAGCAAAATCGTCTAAATTGTTGAGGAACTGGCAGAACTTCTTGAACTCATCAAATGTGATTCCCTGGAGGACACAACATATGCAATTATTCTGTCTGAGCTATTTTGTTTTTAAATCATCACCACCACAGCCTTCCCTTTGCCTCTATAGGGATAGTGAGGTCTCAGTGGCAAATACCTTCCCTCTTCCTAGGGGTATAGAGGTCGCACTGGCAAATGTTTTCCTTTTTGCCTATAGGGATACAAAGGTCTCAGTTCCAAATGCATTCCCTTTTCCTCTATAGGGGTATAGAGGTCTCAGTGCCAAATGCCTTCCCTTTTCCTCTATAGGGGTATAGAGGTCTCAGTGCCAAATGCCTTCCCTTTTCCTCTATAGGGGTATAGAGGTCTCAGTGCCAAATGCCTTCCCTTTTTCTCTATAGGGGTATAGAGGTCTCAGTGCCAAATGCCTTCCCTTTTTCTCTATAGGGGTATAGAAGTCTCAGTGCCAAATGCCTTCCCTTTTTCTCTATAGGGGTATAGAGGTCTCAGTGCCAAATGCCTTCCCTTTTTCTCTATAGGGGTATAGAGGTCTCAGTGCCAAATGCCTTCCCTTTTCCTCTATAGGGGTATAGAGGTCTCAGTGCCAAATGCCTTCCCTTTTCCTCTATAGGGTATAGAGGTCTCAGTGCCAAATGCCTTCCCTTTTCCTCTATAGGGGTATAGAGGTCTCAGTGCCAAATGCCTTTTCTTTACCTCTATAGGGGTATAGAGGTCTCAGTGCCAAAAGCCTTCCCTTTTCCTCTATAGGGTATAGAGGTCTCAGTGCCAAATGCCTTCCCTTTTCCTCTATAGGGGTATAGAGGTCTCAGTGCCAAATGCCTTCCCTTTTCCTCCATAGGGGTATAGAGGTCTCAGTGCCAAATGCCTTCCCTTTTCCTCTATAGGGGTATAGAGGTCTCAGTGCCAAATGCCTTCCCTTTACCTCTATAGGGGTATAGAGGTCTCAGTGCCAAATGCCTTCCCTTTTCCTCCATAGGGGTATAGAGGTCCCAGTGCCAAATGCTTTCCCTTTACCTCTATACTGTATAGAGGTCTCAGTGCCGTAGTGGTCAAGCATTTTTCTAGATTTCTGAAAGCCGTGTCCTTGTTTTAAGGACACACTGTTTAGTACATGGATGCAGTTTTTAATGGAGATCCCTAGTTATCACAGGGAGTTTGATGTGGTGTAGCGGCTAGACACTCACTTGTGGATCAGAAGTCATGGGTTCGGATACTAACAGTGTTTTTAAAAAACGACTATGGGTAAAAAGTCAACCCAGCCTCTAATTTACAAGTCTTGGGAAGTAAAGGTGGTTGGTGTGATGCTAATCATATCACCCACTGAGTGCCAATTGGTCTAGCCCTAGATGCCCAATATGCTTGATGGCATGAAAACAGATCCCTTTACTTACTTACTTACTAAGTGCTGGATGTCAGTTCATTTGGACACCAAAAGTTATATTTGAAAGCCAAGTTATAATTAACAATGGGAGCGTCCTGGGTGCTATGATGTCAATTCTTAATTCAACATCATAATTCACAAATACAGTTTTTAAGTAACTAACCATGCAAGAAACCCAGACACAGCAAATGGCTTCATACCTTTTCATTAGGCATCTTCTTCCGAACCCTCTCTAGGCATTCCTCCACATCACTTCTGTCCAGGCTTGTGTACCTGTTGATGACACAACCTTCATGTTTTATATGACTTTAGTCTGATTCTAAAACTTGAGGTCTGCACGCATGTGGCTAATAAGTATGCAAACTGTTGGTTCCTTACCGCTCAGGCAGAAATGGGCCATGGAACCCATACATATGTCGATGCCATTCCAATAATATATTCAAGATCTCTTTGATTTTTAGCCCAGTTGCGTTTTGACTAACAGCTCATAAGACGAACTGGTCATCAAGTTGAATTCATTTTTTTTTTAAATTTGTAATACTTTAAATCCCTTGGGTTATCAAAATTGCAACAACAAAAAATTCAATCTTTGCAGTTTATAATTACACACTGGTGCGCTCTAATCATCAATTCCAGGAACTTGCTGACAACACCAATGCAGTTATTAACTTTCTTTTTTTAAAAACTGATTTATTGTGCTTATAAGTGCAGATTGTTTAGACCACCAGATTGTAAGTCAAGTATTTAACCATGCCCTAACCAGTTTAGTATAAACGTTATTTAGAAGTGGCTTATTCACACCCAAAATAAAAATGTGTTTAGGCGTAAATATAATCAGACGCCCCCCCCCCCCCCCCCCCCCACGTTCATGTTGGTGGGCCCCTGCCCCGCCTTCCTGGTACATGCCTTCTGCTTTTATTTTTTTCCAATCCTCCATGGTGCTTGATATTGACGGATATAAAAATAATATAATAATTTTCTGTTTCTTTTGCACCTGTTCTTTTTCGTTGCTGATGTTTTAGTAATATTTACATGGGTAGTTTGATTTTCTGAATATATATTGTTATACATGAAAATTCTGAGAGTTCCAGAAAGATTAATTTGAAGTTTCCGAGCCAATACTAAATATGCAAAAGTTGTAGCTTACAGCAACTGTTCAGGATTTATTTGGCTGTCTGGGCAACTGTTCAGGATATATTTGGCTGTCTGGGCAACTGTTCAGGATATATTTGGCTGTCTGGGCAACTGTTCAGGATATATTTGGCTGTCTGGGCAACTGTTCAGGATATATTTGGCTGTCTGGGCAACTGTTCAGGATATATTTGACTGTCTGGTCAACTGTTCAGGATATATTTGACTGTCTGGTCAACTGTTCAGGATATATTTGACAGTCTGGTCAACTGTTCAGGATATATTTGGCTGTCTGGTCAACTGTTCAGGATATATTTGGCTGTCTGGTCAACTGTTCAGGATATATTTGACTGTCTGGTCAACTGTTCAGGATATATTTGGCTGTCTGGGCAACTGTTCAGGATATATTTGGCTGTCTGGGCAACTGTTCAGGATATATTTGGTTGTCTGGTCAACTGTTCAGGATATATTTGGCAGTCTGGGCAACTGTTCAGGATATATTTAGCTGTCTGGGCAACTGTTCAGGATATATTTGACTGTCTGGGCAACTGTTCAGGCTATATTTGGCTGTCTGGGTAACTGTTCAGGATATATTTGGCTGTCTGGGCAACTGTTCAGGATATATTTGACTGTCTGGGCAACTGTTCAGGATATATTTGGCTGTCTGGGCAACTGTTCAGGATATATTTGGCTGTCTGGGCAACTGTTCAGGATATATTTGGCTGTCTGGGCAACTGTTCAGGATATATTTGGCTGTCTGGGCAACTGTTCAGGATATATTTGGCTGTCTGGGCAACTGTTCAGGATATATTTGGCTGTCTGGGCAACTGTTCAGGATATATTTGGCTGTCTGGGCAACTGTTCAGGATATTTTTGGCTGTCTGGGCAACTGTTCAGGATATATTTGGCTGTCTGGGCAACTGTTCAAGATATATTTGGCTGTCTGTTCTGCATGACGGTTCCTCACTTCTCAGGCAGATTCCTTCCAATGTGGAAGGAAAAACCCTTAATTAGGCTACTTGTATGACATGCTTGTTGGGGTTGGGGGTTAGTCTATCTCTCCCCCACATCCCACTTTTTCCTCACTAAAATGGGAGCCCAGAACCCACATAGATGTGGATGGTTTTATTTTCATTCATTTTATGGCTCTGGAGCTTACGAATGCTGTTCTTGGGGTTCCTGTACAACTCCACAAGAGTCGTACCGTAGAAGAAGGGTTTCCTTGGACAGTACATATCATGGGGGGAGGGGGTTTGGTATTAGGGCTAGTGTGTAACGAATAGCGTCTATTACTAAGCCTAACCCCCAAATCTCGAAGCTGATGAGACCATGTTGTCTAAAATTAAAGGACCCTTTTATACGTAGCAGAAAGTTATATGTCTTGAATCAGAGAAATCTTCTATTAACCTTATCTAGGCCCACAGTTGTGAGACTGTACGCTGCTTCCACTTGTCTCAATACATCTATGGTGGTTCAGCAGTTAGCGGCACCTGCATACCAATATAGTGGTCAAAGGTTGAATCCACATTTATGTCCTGAATTTACCCTGCACAGAGGTTTATCTGGCTTCATAGCATGGATGCCAGACATTTATCAGGATAAGCAGTCTGGCTAAAATCTTCTTATTCTTTTCTCCAGATCATGCTCTGCCTTTCAGTGTCAGGTTTTGATGAGACATGTAGATGTTGGTATTTACAACCTTAGAAATTTCCTCTATCCATCACTTCATTGGGTGACCTCTAGCTCTACTTTAGCTATGTTTTACTGACAGGACTCACTGTGATTTAATATCTTGTGGTAGTTTCTTCTTCTTCTTCTTTACATCCTCTTTTACCGCTGCATGTGTCGAGGTAGACACTCATGCTCTTCTGGCTGCTTTGACCATATACACATCGAGGTGCTGTAGAGTTTCTCTGATGTTATCTTCCCATCTTGTTCTTGGTCTACTCCTTGATCTACGTCTCTCTCCTCTTTTGGTATATTTGGTAGTTTCAACCCATCCAAACTGTTGGATCTCTTGCCTCTTGATGCAGTCTGGCCATGTGACAAAATGGGCCTAATATCAAAGTCCTGCAGTGTAAATGAGCGTTACTATCTGCTTATGTTATTTAACAACTGTGACAGAAGCAAAAATAAGAGTCATGTAGCAACCTGAGCAGTATCTTGGCAAAAGACACCTCAGAGATGGTGCTCATCCCTTTGGAGAACTCCAGAAACTCCAGCTCTATCACTTCGCTTTGAAGATTTTCCATGAACCTGACAAGAAGAAGGAATATTCATCATTAGGAGGAGGAATACACGAAAAAGCCCAACTTCTGAGTCCCAAACAAAGCATGATGTGTTACTGACTATTCCCCAGATGTCTCAAACACCACCAAGTGTCTTCTTATGTTTAAGTTTTGCTCAGTGTATATTAACTACGTCTGGCAACCTAAAAAATTTTTTAACACAACTGATGTCAAGTCTGGCCAATATTAACACATAAATAAATAACTATCAGTCTAAGAAAGGACAACAGAAAGAGTTAAGTCTGACCAATATCAACACATAAATAAATAACTACAAATCTAAGAAGCAGTGTCAGATGAAAAAAAGCTGTAGAAGTGATGACAAGGAAGTTCATGTGTGTTGTGTGAAAATAATCAGAATACAGTGAAAGAACAGCAAGCAGTGAAAAAAAACTGTGAACAGTGAAAGAATACTGAGCAGTGAAGGAATACTGAGCAGTGAAACTAAAACAGTGACCAGTGAAAGAACTGAGAGCAGTAACAGAACATCGAGCAGTGAAAGAACATTCAGCAGTAAAAGAACATCAAGCAGTAAAAGAAAACTGAGCAGTGAAAGAACAGTGAGCAGTGAAAGAACAGTGAGCAGTGAAAGAACAATGAGCAGTGAAAAAGACACTGAGCAGTGAAAGAACATTCACCAATGAAAGAACATCAAGCAGTGAAAGAGCATCGAGGAGTGAAAGAACACCGAAGAGTAAGAAAACAGCAAGCAGTAAAAGAACACTGAGCAGTGGAAAAGACACTGAGCAGTGAAAGAACATTCACCAATGAAAGAACATCAAGCAGTGAAAGAACATAGAGGAGTGAAAGAACACCGAAGAGTAAGAAAACAGCAAGCAGTAAAAGAACACTGAGCAGTGGAAAAGACACTGAGCAGTGAAAGAACATTCACCAATGAAAGAACATCAAGCAGTGAAAGAACATCGAGGAGTGAAAGAACACCGAAGAGTAAGAAAACAGCAAGCAGTAAAAGAACAGCAAGCAGTGGAAAAGACACTGAGCAGTGAAAGAACATTCACCAATGAAAGAACATCAAGCAGTGAAAGAACATCGAGGAGTGAAAGAACACCGAAGAGTAAGAAAACAGCAAGCAGTAAAAGAACAGCAAGCAGTGAAAAAAAAACTGTGAACAGTGAAAGAATACTGAGCAGTAAAAGAAAACTGAGCAGTGAAAGAACAGTGAGCAGTGAAACCAAAACATTGAGAAGTGAAAGAACAGTGAGCCGTGACAGAACAGTCAGCAGTGAAAAAATACTGAGCAGTGAAAGAACACCGAGCAGTAAAAGAACAATGAGCAGTAAATGAACAGTGAGCAGTGACAGAACAGGGAGCAGTGACAGAACAGGGAGCAGTAAAAGAACGGAGCAGTAAAAGAACAGGGAGCAGTAAAAGCTTCCTCAGTCACAACAACAAGGTTAATGACCTGTGAAAGTCCTGGTACTTCAGGACATCCTTGCCACTGCGGCCAAAAAAATGAACCAGAAGTGTGGTGTCCTGCACTTCTTTGGGATTTTCCTAGATAATTAAAAAAAATTTTTTTTTTTTAATAATACAACAGAGCAGGACGCAATAAAAAATAAATCGCAATAAAAACTATGGTGCAAATATTATTGTGATTATTCTCTTCTACTGCTGTATTTTCTCTTAAACAGTTAAGCAGGCATGCTGAATGTGGTTTTCAGCTAGACTGATTTCTGCACCTATTGGCCCAATACATCCATCTTTTCTGATATGCATGCCGAGGGCCAGTAGTGGGTTGATTCTTTCTTACTCCTTATTGGGGTCTAGGAATCTACGCAACTTTACTACAGACTATCAACATCCTTGTTTACACTAGAGACTATACATGAAACAGACTATACACATTCTTGTTTACATTTACTATAAACTATACATACTATAGACTATACATACTATAGCCTATACCCACTATACACATCCTAGCCCTCACTTTACTACAGACAACACACAGTATATAAACTATACACATTATAGACTATACATATCCGTGCTGAAATTTTACTACTGACTATACATGTTACAGACCATACATACTAAACATCATACACATTTTCATTTACACTTTACTACAGACTATATTTACGACTGTCCTTACATACTATCCACATTATTATTTAAATTTTACTATAGGCTATATACATTCTTGTTTAAACTTCACTCAAAACTATATATAATTTAGGCTAAACACATCCTTGTACATTATTACTGATTATATACATTCTTGTTTATACTTTACTCTATATATATATTCACACACATATATATACGTACTACTGACTATATACAGAGGGCTGATCAACTGGTGGCCTTCAGGCTGAATCCGGCCTGCAGAGGTCTAACAGGTGGCCCACGGATCACTGCCAACTGGATTGTATTAATGATCTTTCTATGCTGGGGCTCAGCCCTCTGGCCCGTGACGATCCATTTTAAATAGTCTAACCCCTGAGCAAACTTAACTGAATAGGTCTGTTATACATTCTTGTTTATAGTTTACTGCTGACTGTACATACTGTAGACTATACATACTGTAGACTATACATACTGTAGACTATACATACTGTAGACTATAAATTTCACTGCTCACTAGACATACATTAAACAGACAGGAATTAAACAATAGACTGAATGATTTAATACTATACACTCTATAGACTATTAATTTTTTTTTTTTACTTTACTATCTTCTTCTGCTGCTGCTGCCTTCTATCCCCCAATGGAGCATAGGCCATCAACCAACTTACATCAAGTCATTGCAGTACTTGTGATTCCTCGTGTGTCTTCCCCATCTTTTTAACCTCACTCTTTAGCTCCCTTCTCCATGTGTTTTTTGGGTCTGCCCGTATTATTTCTATGCCCCTGTGACTACAGATAATACAGTTATTCATAGTAATTCCTGTTTACATTTTAATAATGACTATACACATCTTTGCTTACATTTTACTATAGACTACACACAAACTTGCTCACTTTACTATAGATTATATATACCACAGATATATACTATACACACATCCTTGCTCACTTTACTATAGATTATATATACCACAGATATAGACTACACACATCTTTGCTCACTTTACTATAGATTATATATACCACAGATATAGACTACATACATCCTTGCTCACTTTACTATAGATTATATATACCACAGATATAGACTACACACATCCTTGCTCACTTTACTATAGATTATATATACCACAGATATAGACTACATACATCCTTGCTCACTTTAATATAGATTATATATACCACAGATATAGACTACATACATCATTGCTCACTTTACTATATAGATTATATATACTAAAAGATATAGACTACACACATCCTTGCTCACTTTACTATAAATTATATATACAACAGATATAGAATACATACATCCTTGCTCAATTTACTATAGATTATATATACCACAGATATAGACTATACACACATCCTTGCTTACATTTTGACTATACACATTCTTTCTAATGATTTACTGTAGATTAAAAAATATGCAGTCTATACTCATTCTTGTTTAAACTTTTCTATAGACAAAACATATTAGGCTATATACATGCTTGCTTATGCTTTACTAAACATACTATAGACAATATGTATTCTCGCTTACACGTTACTTTAGACAACACATACTGCAGACTATATTCTTACTTACACTTTTCTATAGACTATATATACTACAGACTATACATATCTTGCTTACACTTTACCTTGTCAATACCTTTATACATTTTTGTTCACATTCTACGTACACAGTCATGTAAACACTATCAGTCTTTATATTCAGTCAAATGTGTAAACTAAGAGTGAACTCACATGCAATATAACAAGACTGCAGTATCTAGCAGGGCAGCTAAAAGTGAACACGAGCAACTCAACTGGCCATACCAAGCAAAAATGAAAGAGCCAAGACACTGTGACTATCCTTACCTCCCACTGCTGTCAATGAAAAGTCCAAGGCTAATCACAATAAACATTTGCATTTTGCTGGTTAGCACCACGTGCAGTTTCACATGCAGTAATATGATCACACATGAAAGAAATGCATTTTGGGATGCCATAGTAAATCCATTGCATTATATATAACAGCAGATTACATAAATATACTCCACATTGTTAATTAAACAGACAGCAATTAAACATTAGACTGCATGATTTAATGCCTTGCATTCATCAAGTGACTTCACTACTGACTGTGGGAGGCAACATTTCAGAAAATCAAACATGTGTTTTCCATCGTATATTGAAACAAAGAAAACATCTTCTTTGCTTAATTAAGGGTGAAATATTGCTTTTATTTTTTTTAGAAATTCATTCAGTTGTAATACACTTAGGTATTCTTATCAGACAATAAAATGTCACACCGTAATCTTGTCAGATAATGAAATGTCACACCATAATCTTATCAGATAATGAAATGTCACACCATTATCTTGTCAGAGAATGAAATGTCACACCATAATCTTGTTAGATAATGGAATGTCACACCATAATCTTGTCAGACAATGAAATGTCACACCATAATCTTGTCAGATAATGAAATGTCACACCATAATCTTGTCAGATAATGATATATGAGAGTAATCTTAGCAGATAATGAAATACACAAACATAAAAAAAAATCTTATCACTCAGTGAAATGTGACAGAATAATCTTACCAGACAAAGAAATTTAACTGAATAATTTTACCAAACAAGGAAACATGACAGAATAATCTTACTGGACAATAAAATGCAACTGAATAATCTTTGCTGACAATGAACATAGCTAAATATCTTACCAGACAATGAAATGTGACACTGTTATCTTAGCAGATAGAGAAATGTCACCAAATAATCCTACCAGACAATGAAATGTGACACTGTTATCTTAGCAGATAGAGAAATGTCACCAAAATAATCCTACCAGACAATGAAATGTGACAGGGTAATCTTAGCAGAGAGTGAAATGTCACTGAATAATCCTACCAGACAATGAAATGTGACAGGGTAATCTTAGCAGAGAGTGAAATGTCACTGAATAATCCTACCAGACAATGAAATGTGACAGGGTAATCTTAGCAGACAGTGAAATGTCACTGAATAATCCTACCAGACAATGAAATGTGACAGGGTAATCTTAGCAGACAGTGAAATGTCACTGAATAATCCTACCAGACAATGAAATGTGACAGGGTAATCTTAGCAGACAGTGAAATGTGATATTATTATCTCATCAGACAATGAAATGTCACAGGGTAATCTTAGCAGACAGTGAAATGTCACTGAATAATCCTACCAGACAATGAAATGTGACAGGGTAATCTTAGCAGACAGTGAAATGTCACTGAATAATCCTACCAGACAATGAAATGTGACAGGGTAATCTTAGCAGACAGTGAAATGTCACTGAATAATCCTACCAGACAATGAAATGTGACAGGGTAATCTTAGCAGAGAGTGAAATGTGATATTATTATCTCATCAGACATTGAAATGTCACAAACTGACTGGATTCAAGCACCAGTTTTAGTGACGTTGAGATTTCTTATTTTTTTTTTTAAAGAATGTAATCTCAGTGCACAAATTTTAGAGCACCAGCGAGAATACAAGATTTGTGCATTTTTACGACTAGGCCAGACTTCAATCAACATATCTGTCTAGGCTGCATGATGGCGTAGTTGTTAGGTGCTTGCTTACGACTACAGCGGCCTGAGATCAAACTCAGTGGCAGGATGTATTCCAACTTATATATGCACATCGGACAGAGAATTACTCAACAGGCATTGAAAAGGGAAACAAATGGATTGAGAATATGAGGACATCCAAGAGAAACCCTGAGAGGAATGTTGGAAAGAGAGGTTAAAAGAAGGGGTTGAACTGGATTTCAACTACAGCCTGTATGACACTGAGAGGCTTACCTATGATATAGTGGAATGGAGGACCAGACTGCGAAACCTTTTTAACATTTAATGGCAAAAAAAAGGATAATGAAATCGATAATGCTTTTAATATATATATCTCCAAACTGGATGGATTTAAACAGCTGAATGGGAGACCAAGATGGTGAAGATATACAGGCCAGCCTACAAATATTTACTTACAGTCACTAAATTGATATCAACGGCCAATCACACAGATGGAAGGAGATGAGTGATATCTGCAGCAATGAACGTTTTATGGCTTGGAATGTTGAAGAAGAAGAAATAAGAGGAGGAGAAGAAGAAGAAGAAAAATACTGCTTTGAGATTTTTTAAGCATTACAGTCTACAATTATTTAAGTTGGTTACAAAAGTACCAACTAAAAAAAAAAAACCTATAAAAAAAAATTGTATAACAGAAATGAATAAAAACAACAGATGAGTCAAACATACATCCCCAAAATCTTTACAACTGGATTTTTGCAGCATAAGACAAACCTACTTTTTGCTCCTTGCTGTCTGCCGACTTGCCGTCTGCCACTTCCTCTTCATCACAAGGAACCTTTGCTTGTTTAGATCCACTACTGAATACATTCTCAAGCTGCAACAACAACCACTCAGTCAATGTACACACAGAACAATCGAAAACAAAGCAAAGCAAAATAAATAAATTAAAAAAACCTGCTCAAGGAAATAAAAGATGAAAGAAAATTAATTATTTCAGTGAAGACTGAGACTGAACTGTTTCAGTCCTACACAATACGTGATGTATTAAAAAATTACCCCCCTGATTTCCCTCCATAGCCTAATGTGCTCTCTTACTTTATTATAATTGAACAGAATATATTAAAACGCTCCTGGCTTCCCCAAATGGTAACTAACAGCCTATGTATTGCCTCTCTGAAAGTAAAGTATTCACGATTTTTCATAATGGGCTTATCCGCCACTTTTCTATCTATTGTAAAACCTTCTGGTATCAAAAAAGTTAAGTAAAATAAACCTCTTTCCATGACTGAAAGCGTATTAGATATAAAGTTTATATTACAAAAAAATTATAAAAACAACAACAATAAATAAAGGACCCTTATAAAACAATCAGCACTCTATATGTGATCCGACCAATATCACATTGTAAATACAGCGAACATTAAGCAAGTTTCCAGGTAATTATTCTTGTCTCGATGCCTTCTATAAACTACAACAGACAATTTTTTTTAATGTACTGCAGTGAAGATTGCTTTGGTATTTTGACTTCTATGATGAGGATGCCAGTTCACATAAAGGTAAAGATGGCTTGCATGATGCTGACACAACATCACCCTTCAAATGCTTAAATAAGTAAGTATTATCACTGTGTGAGGAAAACTAAGAAGCATGTCGTAAGATTCGACTAATATTGAAGATTTGAGTGCATCTGCCTGAGAGGCAAGGAACAAACAGTCCGTATACAGATATGCCAGATCTGTCAAACGGATGTGCACGCAGCATTCAAGTTCTGGAAGAAGAATTAAAGTCCAGAAGTGGATGAACAACCAGAACTTTCTGTGGGAGTTCACAGCTGGTGAAAGCAAAGAAAAAGAAGAAGAAAAGAAATAAGTATTACTCGCATTGGTCCCAAGCAAGGCCTAGTGTATGAGTAACCCTTGATTTGCATCCACAGTATAACACACTCTCTTATTTTTAACATTTAGTCAGAACATTCTCAAGAAAAGAAATGGTTTTTACCACTATGGGTACTGTCACTTTGAAAGTAAAGTACAGGTGCACTTTCCTCATGGTTATTTCTACACTCTAGCATCTCCCACGATACCTTCTGGTCCTGAACGAGTTAAAGACCCTTTCTATGCTATCAGCTCATTGAGCATCAGGTTCTAGACTACATTTTTAGGGCTAATCAACAGGCACTCAAAGGGTGATGGGCCAACATCAAGCTGGCTGCCTTTACTTCTCAGGACATTACCATTTTAAAGTGCTGATAATTAGTATTTTTATTTCTAAAATTGATCTAGCATCATACACCACGGTATAAACAGATTCCTGTATTCCCTGCTTTTTAATCAACCCCAACAAACAAACGAAAGAAAAAGGTTCATGTCTTTCTTCAAACTAAAACTACTACTAGAATGGAACAACCTGCACGTTAAGTAAAAGTGCTTTGAATTTTTAGAATAAACCACTGCAAGAATATAATGGTAAATAAAAGTGCTTTGGATTTTAAAATAAATCATTGCTAAAACTGAACAGTTCACATGTAAAATAAAAGTGCTTTGTATTTTTAGAACAAACCATTGCTAGAATAAATGGCTTGCATGTAAATAAAAGTGCTTTGCATATGTTAGCAGACTACTGCTAGTCTGAGTGCTTTAAAAACCTGGCGAGAATACTGCTGGGGTGAATTAATGTTAAAGTGCTACACTGGTGCCAGTAGTTTCTATATGCTAGACACATGCCGGTATACCATATCAGCGACAATGCATTCAAGCAAGTAGGCATGAGAATGAGTAGTTAACTCCTTAGTGACCAGACCAGGGGAAACTAAGATACATGGGGAGGAGAAAAACACTGCATAGACACACTGTTGTGTCCTCATCTTTGCCATCTGGCCCACAGGCGGTACCTTTCAGTGAATTCATCTAGTTCAGTGTTTCTCAACCTTCCTAATGCTGTGACCCTTCAATACAGTTCCTCAATTTGTGGTGACCCCCAACCATTTAAAAAAAATTGTGATGCTACTTCATAACTTCAGTAAACATGTGTTTTCTGATGATCTTAGGCGGACCCCTGTAAAAGGGTCCTGTGACATCCAAAGGGGTCATGTCCCACAGGTTGAGAAACACTAATCTAGGGCAACCATGTGCATCCTGGTCAGCCCTTAAGGGAAGGCAATGGCAAAACAGAGATAATTCCTGCCATTAAAAAGGGCTTCTATAAATGCAGAGCTGATACATGGCACTTTGGTACTAGGCTCACTGAAGGAATCGTCCTGTCCTACATATTACTGCTTAACCCCACTTCTGTGTACTAAGCCTTCCACTTATCATGGGCCGTGCCTTGGGGACAATAAATAAGCAGTCAGCAGTAAGTAATTGCTAGCTAACAAACAGCAGGGCATTATATATGCAATCTTAGCTATCAACAGTCAGGGTTTTCAATGTAATCTTAGCCAACAAAAAGGGGTCTTTATGAAGTCCTAGCTAACAAATAATTGTCTTAATGAAGTCCTAGCTAACAAATAATTGTCTTAATGAAGTCCTAGCTAACAAATAGGGGTCTTTATGAAGTCCTAGCTAACAAATAGGGGTCTTTATGAAGTCCTAGCTAACAAATAGGGGTCTTTATGAAGTCCTAGCTAACAACTAGGGGTCCTTATGAAGTCCTAGCTAACAAATAGGGGTCTTTATGAAGTCCTAGTTAACAAATAGGAGTCTTTATGAAGTCCTAGCTAACAAATAATGGTCTTAATGAAGTCCTAGCTAACAAATAGGGGTCTTTATGAAGTCCTAGCTAACAAATAGGGGTCTTCATGAAGTCCTAGCTAACAAATAGGGGTCTTCATGAAGTCCTAGCTAACAAATAGGGGTCTTTATGAAGTCCTAGCTAACAATTAGGGGTCTTTATGAAGTCCTAGCTTACAACAAACATGATTCTATATGAAGTCTTGGTTCAAGCAAATGGGTTTATTTGTAATCCCCAGGCAACAATATGCAGGATCTATATGTAATCCCTAGGCAACAATATGCAGGATCTGTATGTAATCCCTAGGCAACAATCTGCAGGAACTATATGTAATCCCTAGGCAACAATATGCAGGATCTATATGTAATCCCAAGGCAACAATGTGCAGGATCTGTATGTAATCCCTAGGCAACAATTTGCAAGATCTATATGTAATCCCTAGGCAACAATATGCAGGATCTATATGTAATCCCAAGGCAACAATGTGCAGGATCTGTATGTAATCCCTAGGCAACAATTTGCAAGATCTATATGTAATCCCTAGGCAACAATATGCAGGATCTGTATGTAATCCCTAGGCAACAATATGCAGGATCTATATGTAATCCCAAGGCAACAATATACAGGATCTTTATGTAATCCCTAGGCAACAATATACAGGATCTATATGTAATCCCTAGGCAACAATATACAGGATCTTTATGTAATCCCTAGGCAACAATATACAGGATATATATGTAATTCCTAGGCAACAATATACAGGATCTATGTGTAATCCCTAGGCAACAATATGCAGGATTTATATGTAATTAAAAAAAAAAAATTGGTGATTACAAAGTATCTTGATAAAACAACCTCTTGAAGACAGAAAAAGGGTTATGCAGTGTGTACAAAGTGAGCTGCTGCTGTCAGCTGTGATTTGCAAGCTATAATAATCTCAACATGCCCAAGCTGCAAGCTGTGACTCTGCATCAGTTTCTACAGAAAACCTGTGAGAAAGCTAGTTAGTTATTCAACACTTGTTGGGCTAAATTAAGCTGCCACCTCAATCAGCACAGTGTATTTCTACTCTTGTGTAAGATATCAGAAGAAGAATGATAAAAGGGAGTAGGTGAAGAAGGAAAAGAAGATAGGGAAAAGAAGAAAATGGAGGAGGAAAAGCAGAAAGAGAAGAAGAAGAAGGTGGAGAAACAGCAGGGAGAGGAAGAAGAGGATTGTGAGGTGGAAAAGGAGGTGAAGGATGCGAAGGATACCATTCACACAGTTACTGGTAGTGCAGTTACTTTAATGCTTCTTCTCAGCAGATATCCACTACAACTACAGCAATGAAGCACACATATATACAGACACACACACACAGGCACTCATACACAAATACGCTGCACTAGACAACATCAGATTCACAAAACATCAACAATAAAAACCTACAGTAAAACTTCAAAGAGCAAACCCAAACTGCTGAAAATGGTAATTAACATTAAAAACTAAACACAAAACTAAAATGCACACTTTAAAACCCCTTCTGCAGCTTCACAAAGTCAAATGTAACCTGTGCCTGCTGCTATTAAAATACAATAAAACATGTGCAGACTTTTGTGGAAACAAGTGTCATCAAATGTGCTGAACAAAGGCTGGAAAATAACAAGTTACTTGACAATGTCATCCATGATTAGTATGTTAGTATGGTTGTGTGGGATAGAAAATAACAGCTGAAAGAAAAGGCAAATAATTAAAGGGAAGTCACTCTCATGCAGGCATGTAAATTTAAACTAATGTAACTATTTTAATTGTCATTGCTTTGGCCAGTTTTAATAAACACCTATTCAGAATTTATTTGTTGTATTTTTATTCTAACTATTCACATTTATGCCTACCAAACTATCAAACTGCACATCTGTTTCTTTTCTTTACTGTTATGTCTGTTCTTACCTTTGCTGTTTATATTAAAAAATGCACACAGAACAATTTGAAAGAGATGTAAGGTTAGTTTAATTTTTCTTATAAATTCCACATTATTTCTTAAACTTTTTAACATTCTGTTATCTCATCTAATACCAAGCAACTAACTGTCTGTTTATCAGCACCCCCCTCCCCCCTTTTACATCCCCCAACAAGCAGAATGTCATAAAAAGCTACTAATTAGTAGGTGTACATTTGTTAGAAACTAAGAGAATTCATTAAAAAAAAAAAAAAAAAGCCAGATCTGTAGAATGGATGTGCATGCAAAACTCAAGTTCTGGAACAAAAGTCCAGAAGTGGACAAACAACCAGGACTTTAGCCTACAGCCAGTTAATACCAAGTAGAAAAAGTCTGGTAATAAGTTTTATGTTTAAAGTTCAATTAAGAATCAACATTACAGCACTTGAGACATCCCCATAAATGCTCCGTCCCCATCTTCAGCAGCAAGTGCAACGTTCCAATTCTGATGGTACCAGAAACAGTCTGATTGTATATCCGTCTCACCTTTCCCCTAAATGTTGATCATCAGCTAGATCCTTTTATCACTCCTCACAGCACCATTCTCCTCAGACCGTGATGACGCATCTGTGCCGCACATCTAACTTATCAAGCATCAATTCACCACCAAGTTGTGAAGAACCAGCCAGTCCATCTGCCTTTTCCTTCCCTATTACACTGGCATACCCTGAAGAAAAAATCCAAAGCACTACCCAAGACCTCTGAACTGATGCTTGCCATTCTTCTTGGAGCATACCAGTCTCCCTTTTCTCAACACTATGTAAGTCGATTACAATTACAACATGTGTGTACAGCTCCATTTTTATAAGTCTGGGTTGCCCCCGGACCTTTAAAAAACCACTATGCTACCCGTACTATTCAGTGTGCTTTAAGGTGCAGTAAGCAACGGCTCAAAAGAAGCCCCACTCTAGTTTTTGCCGGGAGCCCTGAACATAGCCGGGCTATAAATATGGCCTAATGCCTGAAAGGGGTTTCTGGGACCTCTCCAGAGGTGATCCTCATCCGCATGGTGGCCCTTTGTGTCACCGGGTGTTTATTGTTTGTGTGATGTCCTGGCGGGGTACAACAAAATAGTCTAGTCCGTACTCTATCAATGATGTCATCAACATCCTACTTTTGTTCTCCCAGACATTTCCTGACACCGAATTTAGACTGCGTCAACCTGGGAGCCAAATCAAATACTTAACAATCTGTCTGGATGGGAACTGAAACCTAAGAACTTCAAGCAAGCAGGCCAACTTGTATCTACTATACTTTCATCAACATACATGTATGAGTTTTAATGTATTTTACAAGATTTTTATATATATATATATGCATGTGTTTCAAGAAAGACTGTGATTTGTTTTGAAGCAGATGTTTTCACAAGTGGACTCAGAAAATCACTAAAATTGTAAGAATAGATGCAATATTCTAGGCAAAGCTATTACTGCAGGACTACCAAAGCGAAGACTATAGACACCTTCTATCACAAGCTAACAGGTTAATTCAATCATGTCTAGACACCAATGCTAGAAGCAAAGCTGCAGCAACTTTCTAAGATATGCAAAAACTTCACCTACAATGCTTTCACAAAAGTATGCAAATTTTTTACAAAAGCAGATAATTTAGGATTGTGGCATAAGCTGAAATTGAGCAAAATTAAGTTGAACATATTGGAAATAAGTTAATGCTACTGAATCTCCCATGTCCCATAAATATAGATCATTCCCTTTAAATTATATATCTATTCACACACACACACATGCACACTGTTTCTATACTCATGTTCATCTGTCATGTGCTTAACACTCTTGATATTCTTAACAACAATGCTGACAGGCTAGATCATAGCTATATCATATTTTTAAGGTTTTCATTTGAAACATCGCGTAAAAAGGCATCGTCTCTCTCTCTCTCTCTTTTTTAAGCTCTTAATACGTGTATGCTAGTTGATATGCTGAAACTGCAGTCTGCGGAAATTTTTCCACAAGAGAAAGTGATGGACATTCTATGCGTTTTTCACAGGAGCATAGCATCTATTGGGGGACCCGTCTGCTACGAAACTGAAACTAAAATTACCAAGACACTGAAGGTTAACTGCACTTGTCATTTAGTTTCAAATTTATGGTCTCAGTCTTCATCTTCTTTGTTTTCTTTCTCAGCATTCTGAACCCTTGAGGTAGATTTTTAACTCCAAATTTTCCCTGGGTGGCGCTCTTAGGCTGCCCTTTTTGATTTGCAACTGCCAAGGGATTTTTTTTACGTGTGCAACAATGCACACCGGCGTCTGATCTCACTACCCAGAGACCAGGGGTAATTACTAAAAGTCCACGTGAAAAAATCCCAGCACTTACCGGGGATTGAACCCAGTAGGCACTCGAGGCGGACACCATGCCCCGAGACCACCCAGCCCCAGTCTGCCATGTTTTCTGCAACTTCAATTTTTTTTTAATACAGCTTTTGTTTCTCTGTTGTCTGCTATTCCCTGTACATATTTTTCTTTTCTGAGATCATCACTGGACCTACAGAGTTTGTTCCTTGTGTGATGCTCATGGCAGCAGGCAGCCAGTTGCTTTGCAGAGGCTGTGCCATATGGCAGAGCTATTGAACTGGCGAACTTCCGGTTAAAATGGACGCTAGACAGCGGCGCCGTTCGGAACAGAGGCAAATTTTTTGCTTCTGCCGGACGGTGGCCGATGCATTTTTGCTCCATTTGTAGACTGGATATAGTTTCATCGCCCAGCTTCTGAGTTGAATGCATGGCATGACCCTGTGAGCTGCGGATTGCATTTGGAATGTTTTTTTTCGACTGTGACCAACGTGGTGGTGTGAATTGTAGATTCAGAAAATGGCGCGATGCCTGTCGTTCAATGCTTGCGGGACCCGTATTAAAATTGATCACGCGGACAACTGCTGATCTGTTGACGACAAGTTCTGCTATCATCAATGATGAACTGCATTTCTAATGTCGGACTGTTTTTAAATAGCACTTCGGATGGCTACCATATGCTTTAATGCGAGTGTATGCTAGATATGCTGAGACAGCAGTCTGTCAATCTTTCCACAAGGGACTGTGATAGACATTCTGAGTGTTTTTCGCTGGCACAGGAGCGGAGCAAAGATGGGGCAACCCGTTTGCTATGAAGCTGAAACTAAGACTACCAGACTACCAGACTATTGAACTGGCGGCCCACAGACCAACTCTGGCCCTAGCAAGTGGCCCACGGATCACTGTTAACTCTATTGTATTAGTGAGCTTTCTATATTGTGGCTCGGGTTTCGGACGGTGCCGATCCTCATTTGTATTATTCTGGCTCCTGTGTAAACTCAGCTGAATAGGCACGTCATATGGGATCAAGCCTGGCGCAACAAAGTGAATCCTTTCAACATTAACTTCTTGAAAGAGTATTAACTAAACTATCAACAAACAATTACTTACTTCAACTGTCAATTCCCTCTGTCCCCCTTTAATGCAAGTTGTATATATGTATAACAATAATAATCCCTACCACTTATTTTCTTGTTGCTAGTTTGTAAACATTTCTCTAGCTTCAAACTTCAAAGAATATGTGTCTAAATCTATTTCTCTTGAAGTTCTGTATAAAATGAAATACTACAAGAAACAACTCACTCATGCTGCTATCATCATCCAGACACTTTCTGCAGACACTGCCAGTCATTCAATATTCAAACACAACTATATTATATAATATACACACATATATGCCACTATGTTATTAAATACTCATATTTTACGGTTTACTGAATCTGTAAGATATTTACTTGAAATGTCCTTATGCAAAGTTAGGAAATCTTTAAATAATTATATAATGTATAAAGTTATTCTATTAGCTAATAATAAATTGTTATCATTTATAGAGATATTTATGTTAGTTGATAACAAATTATGTTATTATTCATTTAAGTATTTCTGTTAACTAATAAAATAAAAATGAAGCTATAATTTATACAGATAGTTTCTATGAGTTTATAACAATTTATATTATAATTTACAGTAGTTTTATGATGTGAATGTTTAATAAAGTAATAATCAACTTATAATTTACTGAGACTATCCATTATGACAATTGTGCTCATTTCTGTTGCCATTCTCTGTAAAGTGAGAAAACATGACAAGCGGAAGGCAGCAGCAAGCTAACAAATGCAAATGAAAACACAGGTGGGTGCAGACAAGGTGAGCTAACTTGCAGTTAAACATTGTCTGTTTCGTACATCTAACAAATTGTGCAGTCTTTGGGGGTTCCGTGGGACAAACTTTCTCTCTTTCGGGGGAAGAGCGAAGAAAGTCTCCAACTGAAAGGGAAAAAATGAAATCAGACACAAGCCAAAACAGGGTGGCCAAACATGATTCAGACATTTAGTGACCAGTGATTCGGGTCAGTGTAGGATGGTCAAGTGGTGACCGCTAGTGGGTACCTGATACTCAAGACAATAAAGTCCCTAAACTTACGGTGCTTATAGATGTCTAGTCTGATTTAACAAAATGCAGACTTTTAAGTCTTTTCTTCAAACCACATGTGAATGCTTTCTAAGTCTGCTAGTAGATATGAAAGTTTTTGCTGAAAGGAAGAAGAAAAGAACGTGCAAATAATTAATGAAAGAAAGAAAGAAAGAAAGAAAGAAAGAGAGAGAGAGAGAGAGAGAGAGAGAGAGAGAGAGAGAGAGAGAGAGAGAGAGAGAGAGAAGAGAGAGGAAAGAAAGAAAAGAAAGAAAGAAAGAAAGAAAGAAAGAAAGAAAGAAGAAAGAAAGAAAGAAAGAAAGAAAGAAAAAGAAAGAAAGAGAGAAAGAGAAAGAAAGAAGAAGAAAGAAAGAAAGAAAGAAGAGAAAGAAGAAGAGAAGAAAGAAAGAAAGAAAGAAAGAAAGAAAGAAAGAGAGAGAAAGAAAGAAAGAGAGAGAAAGAAAGAAGATAAAGAAAGAAAGAAGAAAGAAAGAAAAGAAAGAAAGAAAGAAAGAAAGAAAGAAAGAAAGAAAGAAAGAAAGAAAGAAAGAAAGAAAGAAAGAAAGAAAGAAAGAAAGAAAGAAAGAAAAGCCAGGCAGGATGTACTGGAATGAAACAGGATAACACAGACAGTCAAGACAAATGAAAAGAAAGGGTAAAAACAGGGACAAAAAAATGTGAGAAGAGAAAGTGAAAAACATTTCGGGGAAGGGGGGGGGGGGGGGACTCTAGAATGAACAATATGTCCCCAGACTCAAATTCGATATCCTATTACGAAAATAGTGCAGAGGCCAATCTGCCCCATATTTTCCTGACCATCCTAAACTGACCGGTGGTCAGTTGTGCATTAGTGATACATACAGCTTCAACTCAAGTGGTACATACAATAAAAAGCAAATTCTTACAACTCATAATTATCTCTTCAAAAGAAGAAGTGGGGGAGGGGGCGAGGGAGGGGTTCAAATCATTTTTTTCAACATTGCCTGAAGCTATTAATAGCTGTCAATATTATTCCACCGAGTTGAGGAGTGGAGCGGTTGGAAGGGTCAATTAATAAGCAGGTGGAAAAACCAGGTGACATTAAGGAGGTGACATTAAGGAGGTGGATCCAAAGTCTGAACATTTTCATTTTCCCTGCTTGTCAAACTGACAATGAAGAATGATAAATTTGCTTATAACAGTAACACTTACATCAATAACAAGTACAGATCACACAAGTAATAAATGTGCTGGTACAGTAATTATCATATGTACTGGAATATTAGGATACCAGTAACAAATGCACTCATACACTAGCAACAAATGCCTCTGAGCACTGGTGACAAATGTACTGGCACATTTGTAACAACACTGCTGAACCAGTAACAAACGTATTGTTACACTAGTAACAACTGCAACTTTTGCACCAGTAACAAATTCACTATTACAGCAGTAACAAATGCATTGTTACACCAGTACTAAAGGCACTGTGCATCAGTATAAAATATACTGTTTCACCAGTATCAATGCACTGTGCACTAGTACCATATGTAGTGTGTACACAGTACCAAATGCAATGTTCACCAATACCAAATGATTTTGTTACACTATTACCATATGTACTGTTATCCCATTACCAAATGCACTGTTACATATAGTACCTTTTGCATTTAATAACAGTACCAAGTGCATAACTCCAGTACCAAATGCATTGTTACACTAGCAACAAATGCATTGTTACATCAGTGACAAATGCAGGGTCACAATAGTAATAAATTGTTGCAAACTGTGAACATACAAGAGAGCATGTAAATGTACAGGACACAGATTAAAAGTGTTACAATATGTTTCACAACACAATGAAAATTCTGTAAACAAAGCAGGAACAACAAAAGAACAAATGTAACAAATAAAAAGCTCATGTAATTTCAATACTAAACTGATTAGTGCTGAATAATCTGGTAACTAAAACTTTTTTTTTCCCCTCCAGATTACACATTTATATAATTAAAATTACTACAGCTAGTGCCAAAATAAACCAATAAAGAACAAACATTCATTACACAAGAGATAAAATAACACACCTGACCTGGCATGCACACATTTAAACTAGGGTTATGTGTGAGTGACTGAGTGAGAGAGCGAGTGTGTGTGAGAGAGAAAGAGAAAGAGAAAGAAAAAGAACAAGGGATGGCTTATCAACAATGGAAGCACACCTTAAAATCTCAGGAGCAACAAAACTAGTTTTCCTGGGTTCAAATTCAAGAAGCAACAAAACTGGTTGTTTTTCTGGGTTAAAATTCCAGCAGCAGCAATCATCATCATCATGTAGCAGGTCCTTTGCAGAACGTCGCTCTCATCACAGTCTGCCTGAAAGAAACTCGGTCTCTCGCCTCATGAACTTTCACACTCAAGGAGTCATATCCTGTGCCCATCTTTGTGTTCGGTCGGCCCTGCCCCTCCTTCCTGGTAACATGCCTTCTGCTATAATTTTTTTCCAATCCGTCGTGGCGCTTGAAATGACCAAAATATTTCAGCTTTCGAGAAAGGAATCTGTTTATTAGCCAATCTTCCTTGATGTTCAGATTTTTTAAAATGTCAGTATTTCTCATCTTCTTTGTCCAAGATATTCTGAGAATCTTTCTATAGCATTTTAGCTCAAAAGCCCCTATTCTCTTTCTTAAGGACTGAGAGATAGTCCACGACTGACATCTGTATGTAACCACAGGGAAGATGCATGCTCTCAAAATTCTAACTGAAAATTCCAGTAGTAGCAAGAAAGGATCCTTTTCCTGGACTGAATTCCCCACAGCAGCAAGATTGGATGTTTTCTTTTGTTAAAACTCCAGTAACAGAACAAATGAACGTTCTCCTGGGTTCCTCATTACTGTAACAAGTAAAGTCACTTTACAGATCAGTGACGCATTGGGCACAGAAGGCCTGACTCATATTTTATTTTTCTCGTCCTCGATGGGTGATGTAGTCAATATCACAAGGACTATAGCAAGACTGCTTGTTTCCTTGGATTCAAGCTTCAGAAGTGGCAAAGATGAGAAACTTCTTTTTCTTCTTCACGTTCACCAGCTGAAAACTCTGGCAGAAAGTTCTAGTTGTTCGCCCACTTCCAAACTTTAGTCTTCTTCAAGAACTTGAATTTTGTAAGCGGATACATTTTATAGATCTGGCTTATTTCTTCTTCTTCTTCGCATTCACCGGCTGTTAACTCTGGCAAAAAATAATGGTTATTTGTTCATTTCTGGACTGCAGTCCTGTTCCAGAGCCTGAGTGTTGCGTGTGCAACCATTTTACAGATCTGACTAATTTGTATGCAGACACAAAGCTGAGGAAAGAAACACTTTTTTGGTTGGTGGTCATTGCTGAAGCCTAATTGTCTTTGAAATCCCTACCAGGGGTGAGTGAATAGTTATTATTCTAAATTTGATCTATTGCTACCAATACCTCTGAATTAATTTTATCTGCTAGACTCTAGAAAATGTGCTGGCCACATGTAGGAGAATCCTCAACAAATTTCTTTTTTCTCAATAACCACGTTTAGGCTCTAGTATGTAAACATATATCAGTTGATTGATATAATGTTTATTTGTTACTAAATGAATTGGTGTATTTAATTATTATAATTGTATTTAATGATTGACAATTTATGTCCTCATGTGAAAACTCGGCCAGTACTGATTTCCAGCATGGTGACGTTTGATTAATGAAGGAAACAGGTGTATATTCACTATACTGAATCCTTACTATGTTTGTTTAACCTCTGGGCGATTTTAGTTTTAGAAATCACTCTCTAGATTTAATTTAGATTTAGCCCTGAGAATTTTTAGACTAGTTTAAGAACCTGAAAAAGGGATTCACACTGTCACAGAAAAATAGGGGAGGTGTATGGCCATGCTTGTAATAATTCCTAAATTACTAGGAATAAATTTTTAGTATCATTGTATATAGCCCGATAATTTTAATAATTATATTACACCCTTATTTCCCCCAACTTCTTAACTCTAGTGAATAAGATTAAGCGAATGTATTCATTCAAAGTTTACACTGGAGTAAGTGTTGAATTTTTTATGTTACTAATGTGACAGATGGGAATTCCCATTGTCATCTATGATTGTGTTAAGACATCTATACCAGCACCCAGCTATACTGATTGAGATATTTTTTTTATTCATTTTAAAACTGTGTAACATACACATTATGATTTTCACATAACATAAATTCACTCACTGATTCCCATTCTTTGTGATGTGACCATGTGATTGAAATGTGAATACCTTGTGAAATGTGATGGTGTTTAAACATGTTAAACCCTTAAAGGAGTATCACTGTAACAAGAGCAGAACACTCCGTACAGCTGAATGTTTTCTCTCTCAGTGATGTTAAACCCATGTGCTTGGAAATAATATTCTTGAGAAACATATGGATGGAAATTTCTCCCATCATCTTTCATGAGGAGTACAGATTATATTCAGTAAATCCCATTCTATATACCACTTAAGAAGGCAGTGGTTGTTAGCTCTACAGAATTCACGGCTGACAAGGATTAGTTTCATTTTTTGTGCCAGGACATGTGGGGGTACAAGGAAATAAGCAAGCTGATAGACTTGCAGGTAAGGCTACTGTGAAAGGGGGACAAGCCATGGACCAGGTTGATATACTGAATGCTCTAAGAGAGTTGACGTTTGCGTGAACCAAGTGAGAACTGTGAATCTGCAACCATGGTCAGAATGCAAGAACAACATGTTAAACCTGGTGTCACCAAACAAGAACACTATGCAAGTAGCTACAGAAGAATATTAAATCAACACAGAACTGGTGTCGTGAGCCGCTATAAGCTGCGGGATTTACTGAGGAGGGGATC